CGATGTGGCGCTCCATCTTGAAATGCTAATCTATGATTAGCGTCATTATGCGGCGGTGTAATTTCACAAAAGCTTTCCCACAGTGGCGCACAAAAGACTCATTCAGCGCCAGCGCTCGTCTGTGTGGCGAAGAATTATGGAACGCAGATGAATTCATTCAGACGGGAGGGGGATTTATTCGCTAATTATGGGCCTTCACAGTTTTAATGCCACTTAATGAGGCGCTTGCATAGTGTGATTCCTACTTGGGCTGACGAATGGATGCTGGCTTTTTTTATTCGCTTGTTTTTGTTTTACTCCGCGCAACATCTGTTTGCCTCTTTTATTTCCGACATTCAGAGGCGCTGCTTTGGGCGACTGATGATGTGCTCTTGTCTTGCAAGTCAAAATGCGAAATTTGATCTTTGGAAGTATGCTCGCCCAAGCCCAAATCTCAATTGACATCCGTCAGATACGAATCCCAACGCGACGTGCCGCACGCCGAGCGACGCGGCTAACTGGGACTCAACGAAACAATCGGCAACAAATTAGAGCCGCCGACTAACATCGCCGACCTGGCGATTGACCCTCCCACACATCAACTCGCCAGAGAAACTGCAAGAACCGTGTCGGATGTTGCTTAGCGCAGACCTCTTCGAACTTGGAAACGTTTTGCTACTTCTAAGAATGGCGCGATTGTCAAGGAAGAAGCAGACTGGGGGTAAAATTATAATCACACAAAGAGAAGAAACGGGCAAGAATTAAAGGAGAGTGTGTGGATATTTGAGAGGCTGTTGGCAATGATCGCCGCAGTCACTGTACGGTGACAGAGACTCTTCATGCTTCACTTTTTAGCCACAGTTAGGTAAAAAATATTTACCTGTAATTAAGTATTAGTTCATTGGATCTGGCTTTGTTTTTATTTTTTATTTTTGGAGAAAACGCTCATGTTATACAACACGAAATTTTTGATTGGCTGTTACATCCGCGACGTTGTCAAAACCAGTTGCACTCATCAAAATAGTTGCAGAATACTGCGTGAGAGCTCTGTGGCATTTAAACGGGCTCAAAGTGATGATATCGTAAAGAAGAACATCCAACACCAAAAAAGAGGAATGCAACACACTTTGCATCAGAGGATGTCAGTGTGCTGCAAGGTAAGTGCATGTTAAAAGATGTATTCAAAATTACAATCGAAAAGTAAATGGCGGCTCGTCCCTCTTTACTTTTACACACTCAACTCACGGAGACTTTTGATTTCGTTCAGTAGGCTTAACGCCTCATCGTCATATTGTTGTGGAGAGGTAATTAAGTTGGCAAAGTTTAATTGCTCAATCATCGCGATAACACCCCCCACCACCCCCCGCCCCCACTCCCACCGTCATACTTTTAACATACTATATTCATAATGGCTAACAATTACGGCAAGGGCCCTTTAGCTGGGGTAGCAGTCGTAAAAAGCTGCCGGCACAAATGAAAAGCTATAATCACTCCGCCCACAGCAGTTATTAGTTACAAATTACGGGTCAGTGGAGGGGCTGGCTGTTCTATGCATTAAGATAAATAACGCGGCGGCTCGCGGCAAGTGCGGCAGCTGAGTGAGTCGCATACACAATGTGCATGTCTCCTTCAAGCGATGCATTTGTATACCATCTTTGGTAAACGCCGAACCAGAATTAATTGTCGCCCTCTTCCATAAATAAAGGCCACAGCTCGGCTAGACGTCGCGAACGTGGACTTTTTACAACCCTGTAGACATCATTAACGCAACCGCTCGCGCGGCAGACGTTGGCGGCCGTACAGCGGACGTTGAAAGAGACGATACGGCTCTATGCAGCATGGAGCAAGTTCAGAATAGTTTTTGCAAATGCACTCTCGAAGTTCTAAATGCTGTGTCCGGATTTTAGCCTCTTGGATGCCACTTTACAATATAATGTAAACAAAATAAAATAAACGAAAATAAAAAATAAAATAAAGACATAGTAGAAGGGACGCCTTCCGTGCTGCATGCTAATTGTACAAAATATTGTTCATCAAAGTATTCAACATATGCAGTGAGGCGCTTTCTTTACATCCGATGGCCTGACTAGCAGGTCAATGTTTTTTTTTCTTTCTTTCAGCAGTCAAAATATGCTTTGCACAAGAAAATAAATAAATAACTACATCCCAATGCCGGCATTACAATGCCGGCTCGAGTGAATCCCTTTATTATCCCACCCGACGTCGTCTTCGTGTCTTTCTGTCCGGTTGCCCCGCCGGGCCTGCTGGAATGCCGCGCCTCTTTGATCAAGACTTCATTATCAGTGACTCGGAGTCACTTGTCCGCCTGACGCCAAGTGAACGGAAGGAGCTTGGCCTCCGTGTGCAAAGAAGAAGAGGCCTCCTTCATACAAGAAGGAACAATCAGCAGGCATCCCCGCCCCGCATTAATCAGACGCATCCGCATCCAACCGCAATCCCCCGGGCAGCCTGCGGCGGGCGGAATGCTTGGCCCCTGCCAGCCGCACTGCTCATTGCTGGGAATGGGAGGGAGTGGTGGGGGGTCTATTAGCGATTCATTAAATGAGTGGCTGAGCGGACGCCTAGCTGTATCAATTAGGGGATAGTTGATATGTGTGTTATTGTCAAGACCCTGTTTGAGATTGCAAAGCTTTTCATCCCTTGGCTGAGCTGGCGGTTGTAATGTGCTCGCTCGGGTGTGTGGTCTTGGCATGCGGCTGACAGCGGGCAACAGTTTGCTTGTAACACTATCAATAATTACAGATAGACCGATATAAGGTCACCCCCACACACACAACCCTCGAGTGCCACAGATCCAATATTTGAATGGTTTCTGGGTTCTGCAGAGTCCAAAAATGTCATTTCTTTCTTTGCCTTGGCTCTACTTTTTGAGATATTGATATTTTGGACATCTATTGAGGGATTAATCATGTGTTTTGAAAGTTTAGGAAATCGTTACTAAAGTAGTGTCACCATCATTTGTGTTACAAATCTTGAAGTTCTAACAAGAGGAAAGAGTGCCGCGTTTTTGCTCTGACGCAGCCAATAATGCAGCTGTCAATTGATCTCATGGCTGGATTTTGGGAGAAAAAAAAACTTTCAGGAAGACATGACAGGGTGGCCTAAAAACTAGCCAATGAGGATATTGTTGCCCTCCGGAGGTAAAAAACATTCTTGTCCAACAGCCACTGTCACACTTGAAGGAAATGTGTAATATGACCACCGCCAAAGAACTAGTCAATCATTTTATGAGGCAGACTATTATCGGTAGTAGCAGGAATCAAACAGCAAGCGGAACCAAATCCAAGCCACTTGCTGTTAATATTTTGACAGGGCGCAATAAAGTCAACATGGAATTTGTTTAACCGCCGACGCCCGGGAGGCCGCGTCTGGCTAATGTATAAAAATGCCCACCGTTGTTTCCAGCCTGCCAGGCAAACTTCAGGCAAATCGCCCCTGTTGTTCACCAACACGATTCCTCTTTTCACAAAGGTTCTTTGCATATATATCTGATCGTTCCAAATGTGCTGAACCGATGTACCGTTTCAATTTATACACAATTATCAAAGCGCTCAGAATTCAATGCATTGTATGTTTTGTATTTTGGTGGACTGAGCTAACCCTTGGCTGACACTCACTTTGCTCTCTTAGTCGATCCGTCCATTTTCAACAGCCCTTGTCCTCGTAGGGTGGCGGGTGAGGTGAGCACTATACTTTCAACAGCTAAATGTTCCGACCAAATATGACCCAATATATATATATATATATATATATATAT